GGCTCATTACGCCATCAAAGATATTACGGCGTTTTCTTAACCCTCGCATGTGTAGGGGGGGGGGGGGTCGGATGGACCCCCCCATGGTTTTTCGCGAATAACTCGCGTAAAAAGCGGCCGATCGCGACGAAACTTTCAGTACCCTCGCATTGATCAATTTTACACCTACCCTGAAAATTTCATGACCCTGACCCAAATGACCTTTGACCTGTGACCTCTTTTCCGAGACCATGTTTGGCCGGAATCGCGATTTCGCGTATGTCGGCTCGCACTAGCCGCGTGCTTGCAAGCTTCTCGTGGTTTCAAACGTTCAAACATGTGATTTGATGTTACTCCCGTGTGTGTCAAGAACACCTGAAGGTCAGGTCAGGTCATTGACCTTTGGTGACCTCGGGTGATCTCGGGTCACTTTTTCGAGTTTTACATGTTTCTAGGCTAGTTTTTGGAGCTGAATTCGAATTTAGCAACTTGAACATTTACGAAGTAGTTTTGGTGACTTCGTAACATGTTACGAAGCTGTCAGAGGCGGTTGACACGTACTACGAATACCAGTCACGACGCCTACTGGTTGACCTGACCTGACCTGACCCGACCTGGTCTAAATGCTTCAAGACATCATCTGTGATCAAAACTAACACGATATTCGTGATCAGCACCCCGAAAAACCCCTTAGCAGCCACACTTTACGACTTTCTAACAGGTCCCGATTTTCCCGACTTTGGGTCATTGACCTGACCTGGAAGGTCAACCAATGACCTAGGACCTTAAAATTGGGTATCATCGGCTTCCTCTCGTCACGGGCAACACGCTCGTTTTTTCCGCGAAGCTCTAGCTCGATCAGGGGCCAAACGGCAAGGGGGGGTCCAACCGACCCCCCCCTACACATTAGAAGCTGGCAAGCGCCGCACACATGCGAGGGTTAACTTTTTAGCAGTATTTTGAACCGTTGGCTATAAAAATATACGATACATGTGTGATTTTCATATTGATATTTAGAAAGAAAAACCCTTTTTTCAATATATTTCACTGAAACAGTAAAATTCCTTCAGCATCTTTGTCATAGCTTTTACGCTTTTAATAAAAAGTACCCCAATTTTAATTGCACCCATGGCAATTGCGCCAGGGGGGCGCAAATAGAATAATGGTGTAGCTATTGTATCTCGACAGTATGAATGCATCAGTAACTGATTGCAATAAAGAAGGAGTTTAATGTCAGGCAGGGGAGCAGCCCGCTGTCGTCAGTCCGCAAATTATTTCTCTCGTCAAACTTATAATGCAGCTGCCACTTAGGCCACGAACTTGTGGTGTAATTGACAAAATAGGGCTTTTCAATATGGACTCAGGCGTGAGAGGTGACAGCTGTGATAAAAAAAGTAAGAATTGATGTCAGAAAGTTGTCGAAACGATAAAAATTATTACTTTTGAGAGAAACGATTGAAAATTTAGCCGCATAGGCACATACGTTCACAATATATCTAGTCGGTTACATTAAACGTTTTCGTTGCACTTTTACCAGCATACGGACACATGTAGAGATTTACCTGGGCAAAACACATCGCGATTTATATCTACATTTATTATTTATCCAGCCTGATTGACATCATAAATGTTTAAGTAAGCCGCAATGACATTAGACTGCCGGGGTGTATGCATTCCGTCTCATTCGCTTAGCCATGTTAAAGTCATGTTAAAGTATAGGGCGCAATTGGGTTCTAATTGCGCCATCCTCCTGGCGCAATTTACAGCTGGTTTTGGCAAATGCGCCCTTTTGCATGTTTCAGAAAAAGCAGCTGTCATAAGCAAACGAAACATTCTTAATTGATCGGGGGGCTCTTAAATCGTAGCCAATTAGTTCCTCTTTGAAATGGTTACTTGTGCATGCTTATTATCTCAAGCGGTTTTCTTACAATTAGCGTTTTTCCTTAAAGGGACACTCCCACCTTAACATTAGTTTTGAGTTGAGATAGCCAAATTGGTGGCCATGGCCTGCAAATACCGGTTTGGGCACTCACAACATCGACAAATGCTTTAATTCGGAGATATGGAATTTCAAACTTGCAGTTTTCGGATTCTAAGGGGCTAGTGCATTGGTATGCCCCCTTAGAATTTGTGACGTCAGCGGAGATCTAACGATTTTTAAATCTTTTACTAAAACGTTTGGTAGCACGCGGTGGTATATGTTGCTTTGCGCGCAACAAATGCCGCACTTTCAAATAAAGTCGCTAGGAACAGCGGAGATCCCAAAAAGTAAAAAAAAGCAAAAGTCTAATATCTTGAAAACCGGTGAATATTTTTCGATGAAATTTGGTAGATATTCGTTTTCGCTCTTTCTGAACCGAGCGACATCACTTTCGTGCCAATTCATTAACTTTTTGAAGGTGGGAGGGTCCCTTTAACCCGCGAGTTGCTGGGAGGGGGCGTTAAACGCCCCCACTTTTTCGCCGCGCTATAGCATAAAAAAATTTTGGTATCTGTAGGGAATTGATTGAAGCTGATTGTGACAAAGTTTCAAAAAAGTCGGTCGGAAAATTTTTTGAGATATTAAGGTTTTAGTGACGTCATGATTTGAGTTTCCGACCAAAAACGGCATATGTTCAAAACATCATATAACATCACAGAATAAAGATACAGACATGTCGTAAACGGCATTAACCTTCGCCCCAGTGGGGGAGGCATATGTTACCACCCTGTCGCGTTTTTTGCGTGTGAATAAAAAACCGCGGCGCGTAGCGCCGCGCCGCTTGGGGTAGCTTTTGGTACATCAATTTTGGACAATGTGAAATTTTTGACCCCAGGTCATGTAAGGTCAGGTCACCAGGTCAAGTTAACTGACCAAGCCTAAAAACAGTTTGCAATCATGTCCAGCCTGCAGTGTTTGTCAGAAAGGTTTGAAACTTGGTGGATTGCATGCTGTTATGGGCGCCTACAATTTGTATATCTCGGATTTTTTATATCCGTGACCTAAGGTCAGGTCAGTGGCGTGACCTTTCCATTACAAGTTAATGGAAAAAAATGAAAATGCCTCTAGATCCGTGTGTACGCATCGGAACAGTCCAAATATTTCAGAATCACAATGATTTAGTCCACTCGTGATGACCAAGGTGTCATTTTTGCTGAGAGCCTCTAGACAGGTCATCCGAGGTCACTTGAGGCTACAAACAGATTTTTGCCAATAACTCGCGATTGGAAAGAGATAGAACGCTGGGGATGGTCTCATTGTGTTTGTCTTGTTGAGACGCATCGACTGATATGCAACATGACCTTTTCCGTTAAGGTCATGACCTTGACCTGAGGTCAAATTTTCAAGTTGACCTTTCAAGGTCAAATTATAGTTCATTCGACGCGTCTTGGCGAGGTGAACACGATTCTGGCAATATGAATGTCGTGACATTTTGTAGTCGAAAGTTATTGTCGAAAAACACTTTTCGTAAAAACAGCTATTTTTTTAGTTTTTGCCCTCTGGAGGCTAAACCGTTGACCTGAGGTCAATATTGATAATGACCTTTTCAAAAGAAGAGTTCAAAAGCTATCGTTTGCTTTTCCATGCGTTTTTCTAGCTACCATAGTTCCTGAGATAGCGGCATGTTTTCTGAAAAATATAATGACAATTGGCAACTTTTGACCTTTGATGACCTCTGGTGACCCCAATATTACTCTAAGGTGAAAAATGACCGAAATACTTTCAAACGTACGCATTGAGAGCTATCGACTGCTTTTTACCGCGTCTTTCTAGCCCTCTTAGTTTTTGAGTTAGAGGTGGGTGGTAACTGGTAACATATGCCCCCCCCCCCCCACTACGGCGAAGTTGGCTGAGACCGCCACTGGGGCGCGGGTTAAACTGCCTATACCATGGACAATCAGATGGCTATTTCCAATTTTTGATTATCGTTCCTCATTTTCCAAAATCTTGAACAGAATCTTGGCAATTTCTCATGACTTCTTCACGATCATGATACATGCATTTCTTAATTGAACTTTTTTACCAAACACGTACACATATGATAAAATGAATGTCACCATCGTGTTCTACGCCCAAAATTACCCAAAAAAACGTGTGTCACAGGCTGCGAATATCAGTTTTGATTTTCGGGGATATTAGCCTACCTGGTTGACCTGACCTTGACCCTGACCTATGCTTGACTGACCCCTACATGGATCTGACACTCTTGTAGGCCTTATATGATGGCCTGTGCGCCGTTTTGACAGAGTTTATGACGAGAGACGCCCATTGCGAGGTTCTGAAGTCCATGCTACTGAAAGCCCGATTTTAGGTGTTTGACCTGACCTTGACCCGACTTGTGACCTCAAAATTCAACTTTAAAGTACTCATCTGAAGCGTCTCGTCGCGTTCTTTCGTTTGCCGCCTCGTGCGTTTTGCTGCGCCTATCGGTTCTCGAGTTATCGGCTGGGGGCGTTTAACGCCCCTCCCCAGCAAACGGCGGGTGGCGAAATACCCCAGCAACTGCCGGGTTAAGGTGGCGCAATTCACCCTTCTTCCCCTACGTAGAAGCGTGCCGTGCCGTGCCGTGACACAGAGCCCTGATTACACCGCCGGCGGACAGGCGATTCCCGGCAGCCCCTCGCCCGGCCTGGCTTTGGCTCCCATTACGGCTCAGGCTTGGGGCTCCGGCTACTACAAGCAGCAATTGTAATATAACTAAGTACCTATAACCAGGCACGGCAGGTGACACCTGCCTGCTATGAAAATGTGCAACAATCGATCTGTCGAACAAGCCTCATAGTTTGATGGCAGGGCAGTTTTCCACGTCTCGCGATAGGTATTTGATAAAAAGGGCTAGGCGATTATAGCCTTGCGGCTAGACTGACGTGCTCCGCCCCAACCATCCCCACTCCACCCCACCCCATCACCCAACCGGTTGCCCATGTGCAGCGCGTCACCTTGGATTCCGAATGTCGCATTCGGCCTTGTCAGTTTGATGACGTCACCCCTCAGTCAAAATGCACCAATGGCAGAGCAGAAGCCTGCATTATCAGCCTGCAGCAGTGCAGCAATGAGTTAACCGACGAGCAAACGTATCACACCGTGCAAGGAGTGGCTTGATACATTTCGGTGAAAGGCGCCGGACGCCCAACAGTGCAGAATCGTAATCTATCTGCAAGATCCGGTGAGCGCAACTGCTCTTGTCACCTTGCAGTCAGACCAGACGTGTGTGCTGTGTAGTGTGCATTCCCATGCCGTCGACTCAGGGCTAGCGGCGACAGCGCCGGCGCTTCACCATAACTACCGCACGTAACAAAGCCGAGGAAATGCCCATGAACGCTGGAGGCGCACCGGTCAGCAGTATGGACGCACAATGGCTGGGCTTATTCAGCTATCAGACCGGCCTGATCGCAATCTGCTGGACACTGGTGGTGAGTAATGAGTATTGTCAAAAGCGTCGCCGAACTGGGTGGATCGGTCGCGCTGCCCCTACTTTTAAAAACCGGGGTGGGAGTTGATCCCTCACTTTTTGCGAATAAAAACTTTGTATGTTATTATGCACGCGTGACATTGTCGTCAACAAGTTGTTCACAATGTCAGATTCACAACTGCTTCAAAACTTCTGCCATGTCGATTAGTGATCGTGAAACACGAATACCTACCTATGACAATGACTTTCAAGTAACTCCCTCGGCCATTTTTCATCCCTTAGGGGTGAAAAATGGCTCCCGGGAGGGGGAAATGCAACATCCACTAAAGTTTTCGTAGATAACGTAAAGACGGCGGCGCGTGGCACCGCTAAAGTTAGCTTATTAACCCTCGCCCTGGCAGGGCATTTTTCATAACGCGGCCTGGCAGGGGGGAGGGAGGTCGATGCGACCCCCCCCCCCTCGCGATTGGCTCCTATGGCACCTAGAAACACCAAATTTGGTGGGTAGGTGACCTTTCTGGAGTTCCCGCCCATGTGCAAAGTCGGTTGCTTGCTCTATGGTCAATTGTTAGGGGGGTTTTGGGCATAGGCGGCGGAACGGGGATGGCACCGGGGCACCGTGCCCCCTTTGATTTTGGCATTTTAACATTAGCCCTATGGGCGTTGCATGGAAGGAATGGGACCAAAAGTCGACAGTGCCCACTCCGTTAATTGAAGCTGTTCCGTCGCTACTGGTTTTGGGGGTATAAATGCAAAAATTTCGCTAAAAGAGGTCAAAAGTTTTTCGCTTATAACTTCTGATCTAACTAAGATAGAGCAAAAACAGAAGCAGTAGGTAGTGAACTCAGCACGTCAAGGCGCGTCGAATGGTATACATTTTTGCCTGCCCAAGTGTACCTTAAAAGTTAAGCACTACTTAAGAAAAACTTGAGTCTTAAGAACGATTGAAATGCTTAAAGGGACTGTCCCACCTTTGCATTAGTTCTGAGTTGAGATAGCCAAGTTGGCGGCCAGGTTCAGAAACCACTATATATCCTGGTCGCAATATCCTCAGTTTCGTGGTGTTAAAGAAATTCGTTCCCTTCATTTGAAAAGTGGGCCTCAGCTATATCTTAACCCACGAGCCGCTGGGGGGGGGGCATAAAGTTGCCCCCCCCCCTTCACGTTTTGTGAAATATCTCCGAAACCTGATGAGCTACGAACGTGAAACTTGGCATAGCTTCAAATGAATACCTAGGCAATGTTTGAGAAAAGTTTGGTGGTTGCAGCACCTAAGATGGCGTCACAGTGACGTCATAAAGTTTTGTCGTTTTCCGATATGGACCGTTTCTGATGACGCTGAGCATGAAACTCAACTGTAAATGAACTAGACAGCACCTGCTGTCATCCTAAAACATCTAACTACACTTCCATCTAGTTTCTGACCAATAATCGGCCCTTTATATTCGGTCCCATATATCTGATGTATCGTGAAGAATATGAGAGTCGCAAATCTATAATTTCACTTATGACGTCACTGTGACGTCATTTCAAATGGTATCAACACCAAATTTGAACACAACCTCGGCTAGGTATTCAGGAAGATGTGTGCGAAGTTTCGCTTCTCTATCTCTTCGCGTTGCGACGATATCGTCGCAGAAGTAAAGGGGGGGGCAACTATATGCCCCCCCCCCAGCGGCCGGCGGGTGGCGCGGAGGCCCAGCGGCCGCCGGGTTAACTATTAACGGCCATTTGATGACGTCATTTGCATTTTGAACACCTGTCACGCATGTGAAGTTTCACTTGATTTACGAATAAGCTGATCAGAGACACTTGTTATTTTATGAGCCGCGTCATATTTGAGAGCAAATACCTATATTTGCTGCCAAATTTCCCCCACATTGACATGAAGTAAATCCTTCATTACATCACAGATCCGATCTAAATGACGTCACGATGAAATATAAAAGTCGCAATATCTCAAAAAGTATACAATGAAAACGCGTAAAAACTTGCAGAATTCGTCACAATATCATGAGTAACATTTCCGAATCCTAAATGGTACTTTTTTGAAGGTGGGATAGTCCCTTTAATGTTGCCCTATCATTCGTCTCGGCTGTTCAAGAGGAACAAAATGATACCATTTTGAAAGCTCTATCTTTATTATGTGACAAGTTATTGGCACAAACGTCTTTTGACCTCAGTTGATCTCATTTGACCTGACCCTTGGATAAGTACACCAAACAAGGAAAAATCAAGTGACATAATGTTAACCCTCGCACGACCAGGCCATTTCTCATAACACGAACGACCAGGGGGGGGGGTGTTACGACCCCCCCCCCCCTGGCGTTTCGAAACGGAAGGTCGTAGAGCTTAGCGGAAAAAACCAACGGATTGCTCTCAACGAGATCTCGCGATTGGTGGTATATTTTTTGGTCCTAGGTCAACATTTGACCTACTTTTGACCGGTCAAAGGTCAAATTTTCGGAAAAATAGACCTTTTTCAACTTTCCGCGGCGATTGCGGCAAAACGGTGGGAGATATCGACTTGAAACCTTCACTATCGTGTTCCTTGATCAATTCTCTATCGTTTGGTATGTATTTCGTTTCCCTAGCTCTAAAAATGGCGCGTTGGGAGCGCCGGAAGTCGGCAAGGTCACAGTCGGCGGCAGAAATTCGAAAAATCAAAATTTAAATTTTTTAAATCTGATTGTATTTTTGGATTTGGGAGGTCCATTTGCTCCCTATAGAAGCTAATATTGCTGCATATTCCCATTGAGGTGACAAGAATTAGCAAAATAGTGGTTCGGGCGCTTTTCAAAAATAGTACGGGACGCTGTTCCTCTTGTGACGTCATAGCTCCGTGACCTGACCTGACCCGGTCAATTTTCTTGCACCACACGATAGCCAATGCTTGCCCCAACATGCATGGGAAGTTTCATCATGATCCATCAAACAATGTGGGTATCACCGGCAGAAAACCTAGGGATTCGGCGCACACGTTTGGTAACTGTCGGCCGGAGGCTGTACCTCTTATGACGTCATAACTCCGTGACCTGACATGACCCGATCAATTTTTTTCGGCAAAAGATGCGCAAAGGTTGCCCCAGAGGGTATTGAAAATTTCAGCCCGCTACGACAAGCCGTTTAGCGTGCACTTCGAAAAAAACCTCAGGGGGGGGGTTGATACAACCCCCCCCCCTAGGCGTTCTAGGGTTAAGCGCTGTGGTAGCAAAGCACAAAGTGATATAGCGCCATACGCGCCCTGCTGGGGGGGCAAATTCTGCCCCCCCCCCTATCTAACTTTCGATCCGATGGTCGTAGAAAGACGGGGAAAACGGCAATCGAAAGCTCTCAACAACGCGGATCTTAAAAGCCCAACTTTTTTTGCTTAAGTAGGTCAGAGGTCAGGTCAAGGTCAGGTCAAGGGTACAAAATGCAAGTTTCTACATTATCGGCCTTGCACCGTAGTTGCCGAAAAATGGACTGAGACTGATTGCCCAAAACGTGTTCTTAGGCTACCAAGACAATCAGTGGCGTATCTAGGATTTCTCTCAGGGGGGTCCGCAGTCAAAAGGGCCCTTGACTGACTGGGTTGAAAGGGCCCTTAAGTGGCAAAAGGGCCCTTGTAGCCTGAGTTGAAAGGGCGTTAACCCACGCCCCGTAGGGAGGGGGGGGGGGCGAAACGGCCCCCTGTCCTCTTCCGTAGCTATCTCCTAAATGACTGCAAATATCGCCACCGAACTTTCAGGACCTCTCTGGGCATCCATTTTACACATTGTGACCAATTTTTTCCAGAGGCTATGATAGGTCGGCCGCAAATGACGTCAGAATGACGTCATGTTCTGCCATTTTCGACAAAAAAAGGTTTCGCAAGAAGAGCCACAGGCCTACAGAGCTGTAGAAGCATAAAAATGTTCCGACTTAAAAGGTGTAGAATTGACAGGCCTAGGTCAAATCTGAGCACAGTTTACAGAAAGAGCATTAAAAGAGCTTTGATTGTTTTGCTGGGTTGGGCCCAGGCCCTTTCGGTCTGACGAGTCCATTTCAGAGCCCTGTTCGATCGCTGTTTTTATATCAGCGTGCTGTCGGTTTTCCCCATATAAGGAAGTTATTGCTGGCGCTTCTTGGCCTCTCATTGGTCTAACGAATAGACCACTTGAATTCGACCAATGAGCCCAGAAGTGGCAGCATGCTCGCAGCCTGCTGATAAATAAACGGGGTGCGAACAGAGCTCAGGGCCGGAAGGATGATAGGAAAGGAATTGAGGGAGACATTGGTCTGGGCGGGCACCTTGGTGAGTCACCGGGGCTGAGCCTGTCCAACAGGACAGGCCGACCAGCCCCCCAAGTGCTCACTGCACCCGGTTACGAGCGTGCTTGATTAGGAGCTGCAGTGCGCTCCAATGGGAGCCGCCCGCATGGAATAAAGTTGCCCGTCCAGGTCCAGCCCGAATCAGGGTTTGCGGCATGGAGGAGAAGGATTTGAATGTCATGAGGATGGAAACGGCGAAACGGGTGTTGAAGAGCTATTAACTACGCTTTTCACCGGCACTGTAGCTCCACATTTCCGAGTCATGCGATGGTTTGTTGAAAATTGTCGAAATTGGATCTGAAAATTGGCGAAATTTGCCCTTGATGACCTATGTGAAATGACTTTTGACCTGATCTAAAAAGTGACCAGAGTAATTTCGTCATTATTATTTGCGTCCCTTCAAACGCCGCCTTTGGCGTGTCGTGGCTCAGAAGCCGAGTTAGAAGCAGGGGTGCGGAGTCGCGGAGCTGGAGCTGCAGAGCCGCCGGAGCAGGCATATTTTGCCCGGAGCCGGAGCCGTGAAAGAATATAGCCCGGAGCCGGAGCCGGAGCCGGAGCATTCAAAAAAGGCGGCGACTCCGGCTACTTTTTTTGAAGAGGAAACAATTATTGACCTAGTTCGGTTTGACAGTACCTACAAGGCAGTAAAACATGTGACATTCAAAACAGCCTTGCTATGCAAATACAAAAGCAACGTGAACCAATCCT